TAACGATAACAATAATTGGAACTATTTATACAGGGTAAGCTCAAAGTAACTACAAAGGTCAAATACACGAGGTCCCTTGAAGCCAAGCACGGTTTGAAATAATCACCGGGGGTGTTTAACCGAGAAAATACGGTATGTTCATTGATACATAATTTGTTTTATTGGTCGTTTCTATTGGCTCTGAAAAGCCCCAATGAGAGCTGATAACTTTTCAACAAATCTTTGTCCAAGGTCAATGGTATTAAATCAGCCTTGTCAATAAAATAACAATTTTTCCTGACTCAAAATAAAATTCCCTGACTTTTCCCTGACCTTGAAGAATTTCTTTTATCACTGACCATTTCCTGACCTGGGGCAACCTTGCACCTGTTCTTTACTAAGCCTCAGTGGCCTGACAAAAGGCTGGGACGACAAGAGAAGGGGTGGGAAAAGTTATGACAGAACTGACAATCATTCCATCAATCAGGTACTCTAGGCCATTTCCGAGTTGTCTTTTGCCTCAGAGTCAAAACGAATTCTCATGCAAAATCTTTCATATGAAAATGAGTTTGAGTTGCATGAAAATGAACCTGTTGGTGGAACGCATTTTCGTGAATGGTTTCGAAGGAAGACTGGTTTTGACACTGAGGACGAAAGACAATTCGGAAATGGCCTGTTACAAGTATAGACCACTGTGCTTCTTGCACCTCAGATATAAAACCGCAATTAAACTGTTGACTTGTCAAGTTACCGGTAAGAGATCCTGTAACCAACAAAGATCATGCCAGGAGGTTGATACGGCAAAGGATCCCAACGAACGTTAACTTCAGTTCCAGAAGAAAGAGGCGTCGCCTGAACATTTGTCAATTGTAAACTAATGTCTATCAAAAAAGGCAAGCAAAAATAAAAATCAAAAGCAACAACAAAACAGAAATAGGATATTTTACAAGGAGCAAGGATATCAAGGATTCAACACCAATATCAACATATTCAACATACCAATATTTATCATTAATATTTACATTATTTTAAAGTTTAAAAACATATTTTTAAGAAACTGTAGCATATTCTGGACAGGGGTTATAATGATTATTATACATTGTAGTCACCATCTGTCTTCTCATTGGCTAAAAACCTACAGTTAATTCTACAGATTATTCACTAATCTGCTAGCAGATTAGTAAATAATCCGTAAGTTGCGCGCGCAATGCATGATTTCTAAGAGCAATGTCAAGTTCACGTACGAACAGGGCTTGTCGAAAATAAACTGTGTTCGGTGCGATAACGCGTTTGTCGTTATTTTCTTTAAAACGATGTATAATAAAACAATTATGAGATTCGGTTTTTGTGATATCCGAAATAATCAAGGTCTCGGTTAGTGTTATCAGCCTTAGCCTTCGCCTTCGGCTGATAACACTTACCTCGAGCTTGATTATTCCGGATATCACAAAAACCTCATCCAATAATTGTTTACTATCAGTTGAGTAAGGCACCACGGAAGTTTGGTGACGAAATTAAGCCTAAAAATTACGGTGTTGTCACGGGCAAATTACCTAGTTTCCATTGGTAACAATATCAACAACCGTACGTCGCCTGTTGCGTCGCCTACAATTTCGCGCGCTTTGCTGCCTATGAGGTCAAAGGCCGACAAGCTGCCACTGGAAATGGAGCCAGTTGCCCATGACAACCACACGATTTTCACGTTAAAACCTGGTGACCAGACTTTTGTCACGCCTTCCTCGACTGATAATCGTAGTAAATGCAGTCAAATACTAAGTTAATAACAAAGTGGGGTATCCTCGCTGCTTTGAGGTCAGTGGTGTCCGCAGTTTCCCACACCCCAAGGAGACGCCATGCCTACGTTCGCACAAAGCTCCGGTTGTGGCGTTTTGTTTATGTGCAATGAGCTCTAGTGTCCCGGTTTGTCAGTGGTTGGTTCTCATTCATCAACTGCACTTGTTGAATGAAAGAACAAGATGCAAATTATAGCACAGTCTACATCATGGAATACTTACTGCAGTGTTTTTCATCACTGCCATCCTTGCAGTCTTGAATGTGATCACATCTTTGTGATGTTGTCAAGCAAAGGTTGGAATCGCACAAAAAGCCTGGGCAAGCGCTTGGAGTGACACCTGAAGAATAACAATACAATTAAATAATGGTAATGGTAATGGTAATGGTAATGGTAATGGTAATGGTAATGGTAATGGTAATGGTAATGATAATGATAACAAATTACTTTATGATTTCAAGTGTCAAAGTGTTTGGCGATGTTGTACTAATTTTGGACACTGAAACAAACAAATGAGCTAACAAACAAAGAAACAAACATTGTCCATTGAACAGAAACTTGTTTTAAAATCATAACTGGTGGGAGACTGACCAGTTGGTTTTAATTTGCAAAGTGTAAAATAGTGGAATTTCGAGACCACCAGAGACAAATTCATCTAAAGGCAGAAGGGAGGATATGAACCTACGAGCTCTGGATTACAAATCCAGCAGCCTAACCACTAGGCAAAGCCACCTCGTAAAGATGGATTCCACTCAAAGTTCGAGCAATAAGTGGAAAAATTATTTACTAAAAATCTACTCATAGCAAGGTAACGTTTTGAATGCTATTTGAAATATCTCACTTTAATTCATATCTGTAAGTGACTCCACGTTTAAATTATCGAGCACTCCCGTGAAAGTTAACGCCAAACCTCGTAAAAAATGCTTTAAGTGTGTGTTACTGTGTTCAGAATCGACGTGAAACGTCCGTTTTAATTAAAATATGGACAACTTGAAATTGAATTTTCCCTCGCAGGGTCAGCTTAAGAGCTTAAGTTTCAATACGTTCTTCTTCATTGCATTCAAAATGTTACCATACTATGATTGTTTTTTTTTCTTTTGATAACATTATTTCATGTTCAGCAGAAACCATCTCAAGTTTTGTTTTTGTTGTTGTTGTTGTTGTTGTTGTTGTTATTTTTGTCGTGCTTACTTCCACAGCCGCTGGGCTCATCTGAGCCATCGATACACTGCTTGATTCCATCGCACAAGGACTTGAGTGGAACACATCCTCCATATGCACACTGGTACTGACTGCTTGAACAAGTAATGGGTCTCATTGTGGTTTCTTGAAAATATCGAAACAAGGAAAGGCTTAGAAATTAATCATTAAGAAACAACCATGTACAATGGTCTAATCTGCTCCACACATACCCTATTAATCCATTACACTCTTTTTTTTTTTTTCTACAAGAATATATTTTATAGGAATATCTAGGCTGAAATCTGCAAACAACAGGAAATTCCAATTGTCAATTCAGTCTGCGTGATTTTTCTACAGGGTAAAGTTAAATACAATGTACAAAAACAATTGCAAATGGTTAGCCTGTGAAAATGTAAGTAAGAATTCTTCTAAAAAATAAGAAATTATAAGCTCTCGATTTCTAAGAGAATTCTACAAAAAGCAGAGACTCCCATAAGTTGGTACCCCTTCGCAAGTGGATGCCTCCAACATTATATGCACTCCTAACAATCACAGCAGGTCTACCACTGGATAGCTCCCGGAATTTACTAACAATTCCAATACGAAAACGTTTCAAAACCGACAGCTCTAGTGAGATCCCCAAAAATTTCGACAAGAACATACTTGGGCAGTTTTTTGGCATTTCATCCCAATATCCTGGGCAGTTGGCCACTCCATCACACAACCATTCTCTTTTGATGCATATGGAAGTATTATTGCAATGTATCCATCCTGGTGGGCAGGTAGGAGCTAGCGTAGTAGCTGGCTTAGTTGTGGGAGAGGCTAAAAAGTGAAGAAAGAAAGGAAAAAAAAAAAGAAAGAAAGAAAACATAGAAGTTCACATCATTAGTTCTTTTAACACGAACATTTTAAAATTGACCAATGCGGGGCACAAATCTAAGGATGGAGTAGCATACTTTGGGTTTGTATTTTAGTTTTTTTAGGTTTGTAGTGTTTGCAGTGAAATGCAAAGTGCAGAGTGTGTAGGTGTTGAGAGGTCTTCATTAAAGAGGAATATGGAATAATTGTAATACAGTGCACACTCATGATATGGAAGGAACAAGCAGAGTACAGTACAGAGGTGTTGTAAATGTGCAGTGCACAGAAATTCCGTGCTGTGGTGTACAACGTAAAAGTAACCAGCAAGAGTGAGTGTAGAAAGTAGATGTTTCTCGACTGTCATGTGCAGAAGCTGTTTATTGTATAAGACGTCCGCTTGATTAATGTGCAATGACGTACAACAGTATAGACATAAGAGTGCCAGGATGCAGTGTAATATCAATATAGCTACTCAGCTTTGAATATTACAGTCATTATACAACGCGTTGAACAACAGCTGAAACATAGCAATGGATCAAAGCAATTAAAATCTCTGACATCTATATTTTTTACTACATTGTGTGTGCCTTAAATTCCTAATTTAAGGAGAACCTGATATTCCTAAATTCCTAAAATCTACCTTAAAATACAAATTTAAGGTAACTCAAATGACATTTTACAGAAATTTCATTTGAGATGGCTGTAGCTTTTGTGCGAATGGAAAGGATATACATACCTTCAGAATATTAAAGTCAGAGAAACCGCTTAAACAAGGAACACTGACAAGGACTTCAAACTCACCGCATCCCATCTCGTCACTATTGTCTCTACAGTCATCGCGTCCATTGCATTTGTACCCATTGTTGATGCACCGCCCATTAGCGCAGGTGAACTCCCAGAAGTGGCAAGGCCTAGAGGATGGTGTGGTAGCATTTCTCGTGGTGGGTGTAGTAGCTGAAAAAAAATTCAAGCAATTTTAAAGGAGTGAACATTTCAAATGTGCTTAAGGTACACTGTGATTTAGACAAATGCGACCAAAACACAATCCTGGCCAGTAGTTTCCTACATACAAGTGACCTGTGAGTTGAAGTCGCCACATTGAGGGATAAGTTGAAGTTGCACTGTAATCGTATCAGCATTAGCTGTAAAGTTGAGCCTGCACTGATAAACACCTCATGTAGGTGGACACTAAGTCTTACTCCTAGGTCTCCAGATGTAAATGTCAGAGCACGTTTTCTGATCCCAAGGGCATTTGCTTAGTATAGAGGAGCTCCTTTTTGCACTCGAAACTGCAGAAACTACACCTCAGATGCTTGACTGTTGAAAGGTTCCTAAAGGAGAGCATACCTCAGAAAACCTACATTTAATTTTGCCCACCCAGTTTTCAAATTCTAGCTTAAACCCTGTCATGAAGACACTTTCCCATTTTCCCAGCTATGAACACTCTCAAGAGGTTTATTGTCACTACACTGACAAGAATGATCAGCATGCTTCCACAACAGCACAGTCAATACATACCACCACAATACCATTCATCTGAGTTGTCTCCACAGTCATTAACACCATCACACACGTCCCATTGGAAAATACAGAAGCTATTGTTGCATTTGTATTCCCAAGATCTGCAGGTAGTAGGGCGGGTCCAGGGTTGGGTGGAAGCAGTAGACTGAGTTGTATCTGGAAAAGAGGGAGTGCAATGATTACGTTTATGTTCTGCATTTGATCATTTCTTTTTAGTTTCGACCAAACTGGTTTTATTTCATTGCTACAATCCCGGACAAAAGAGTTGGGACACTAGGCAAGTTCTCCCCTCCCCCTAATTTCAATGTTGATAATCAGGTGATTTTTTCCCTTTTTGTTGGAAAAAATGCGATATTTTCCTACACTGATTAGGGGGGAAGGGGGATACGTGATACAGCTCAAGTGTCCCAACTACTTTTGGTCGGGATTGTAACTTTATGTGCACCTTCACTGCAGTGCAAATTTCTAGTTTGGAATAACATAAAGTAAGGCTGATTACTACAAAGACAACCTAACGCGACAACGACGTGATAGAGTCTGACCTGAAAGCCAAGAATTGCAACCGTGGACAGCTGTTTCGACCTGGTTGGGTCTCGTCAGCACGGTGAAGCAGCAAACAATAGAGCAACCAGCTTGAGGGCAAATTGTCTACTAAATGTACACGGTAATGACCTCAGATGAAACTCAAATCCAAATGTTTGCGAATTGGTCACTGTCACGTGCAAAACGCATGACCGTGAACAATAGGCAAAATCCAGCAGAATATCATGTCATTGTCATGATAAGGAGATTGCGGACAGACACTTGTATGTCACTTGTACGCAGCTCTTGAACTTACAAATACACTGCTGTTCATCAGACAAGTCCCCGCAGTCATTATCGCCATCACAACGCCACGAGCTGGGTATGCAGCGTCCACCTTTACAAGTGAACTGTGATGAGGAGCATGTTCTTGTCACTGGAAATGGTAACATGTAGAAAAATATTATACTACTGGTTATTTCAGAAGACAGAAAAACGAATAGTTGGAATGTTTAAAATATCATCACAATAATTACACCAACAAATGTGGCAGTTGAAGAAAAAGGTTGTTGAGAACCTTGCGAAACTATGACACTGTGTTCAGTATATTAAGGAATGAATGAATGAATGAATGAATGAATGAATGAATGAATGAATGAATGCATGCATGCATGCATGCATGCATGCATGCATGCATGCATGCATGCATGCATGCATACATACATACATACATACATAAATAAATAAATAGATTGATAAATAAAGATGACAATAAAAACAAGAATACCAAAATGGGAAGCCACATCTACGGTGTACACAACAACAAAGCACATTTCTTTTTCAGTGACTCAACCAAGTTTCATTCTCATTCTTAGTTGGTTTACTTGTATTTAAACATGAACATGTTTGAGTAATAAAGTCTTCCCAGTTGACATGAAACCGACTTGAAGGACAGAAAGATGACAGAAAGTTTACGAAATCAATCTATATACTAGTACTTTGGAATTGAATGAGATGTTGACCTTAGCTCAATACGTTGGCGAGCAAGACAGAAATCGCATTCTACTTAATTCACAATCAATTTTCAACCATGTCTGGATCCCATGACGCAGCATAAATGTTAACTTTTGAAGTCTTCTTTTTTTTTTTGGTCAACACCAGTTTCAGTGAAACAATTACATAACAGTCCTAAAATAGGATGTGACGTAGCCCCTCTAATTAGCTATCTATTCTTCAACATACAGGAACAATTTCGTGGTTCATCAGATCCATCACCGCAGTCCTGGTCCCCATCACAAAACCACCTACTTGGAATGCAGCGACCATTGTGACAAGGAAACTGGGATGACGAACAGTTGGCTGGTGGGGGTGATGTTGTTGGTGCTAAAACAAGAATAAACAAACAACTCAGAGTGAGTTTCATCTTGAGATTTCTCTCACATTTGGCAGATCAAATGACTGGCAAAGATACTAGACAAAAAATCCACTGTAGAATTTAACACGTTTTTGAAATACTAGTCTTGAAAGCTGGGTGCAGTACATTTCTAGTCATAAGCCCACTCAGGAATAAACACTACTTTTTTGTTACACTGAAAGCTTGACTTTTCTAAGACCAAAGAGTCAACAAGAAGTAATTAAGTTAACCTGTAAAAAGGAAACCATAGTAGACTGCCTAATAGTCTCTAGTTAGTAAAAACATTCCAGTTTTAAAGCACAACAATTACATTTTCTGCATATTCTCCTAGAGCAACTGAGAAAAGTTGCCAAATGCAATACAGAGAAACTACATAACACCAGAAAAAAGTATTTTTTTTCTTTGTAGCCAGAGGTTCCCACCTGGGGTGCATCCTTGTTCATCAGAGTTATCACGACAGTCATCGTCAAAATCACACACCCATCTTTGTGGAATACAGCGCCTGTTATTGCAAGTGAATTGATCTGACCTGCAAGTGGCATAAGCTGACCAAAGAATACAGTGAAAATATCATGTTACTACATTGATAATTTCAAGTCAGTTTTGTCTTATAAATAAATGTATTGTTGCCTTGTGATGGCAACACTGCCAGAGAGACAGTGCCAAATTACAGTATGCTGGTTGAAAATGAACCACATTTTCTGTATTGTACACGTAGCTTAGACTGAGGTGATTGTGTGAGACCATTAACATTAACAATATAGAAACCTTCAGTTCCACCAACCGGACACAAAAACCTGGCCCCATCAACACAGTGGCCATATCATAATTATGGGGTAAGGAAAAATTAGGAGTGTGCAATCTTTGGTGCTGCTGCACAATATGATCACAATTACATTAACAAAGTGGTTGAAAGGCAGGCCAAGAGTCCCACTGAATTAAAGTCAGAATTCAATTCTTACAGCAGTTTTTCTCATCAGAATTGTCTTGACAGTCATCATCATGGTCACACTTCCACAATGCAGATATACAGCGACCATTGTCACATTTGAACTGCGTTGGGCCGCAAGTGCTGTAAGCTGGGACAAACATTAACAAGATGTTAACTGAAATGGTCAGCAAGGTCTAGTTTCATCTATTCCTTTCCTCCCTCTCCACTGAACATAAACAATCATTACTAACTAAAGATCTAATTTGATTTTTTAAACAGTTTTAAATATCATCAAAAAATACCGCCTTCAGCATCCCAGGGTTTTAATAGAAATCTGAGGCCCCATCCACACTACGCTGGAGAAATTTCCGTGAAAACACAACAATCAGCAGTTATTTTGGATTCTTTTGTGGTACAGTGGAACCCCGTTAATACGACCACCTTCGGGCCATGGAAAATTGGTCGTATTAACAGGGTGGTCGTATTAAAGGGGTTCTTTGAATAAGAAAATGGCTGACTGAGCTCTTTTGGGGGCCAGAATAAAGTGGCCGTAATAACGAGGTGGTCGTATTAACGGGGTGTTCGTATTAACGGGGTGGTCGTAAGGCGGGGTTCCACTGTGACTGTTGAAGAAAACTCAGACAGGGAAATCAAATGTTTATCCTGATGTCCTCGTTTTTATAACAGCTCTGTTTTCAAAAGATTTTCTGCACACATTAAAACGCAAGGCCGGCGTTTTCAAATGCCTTTAGTTTGAAGGGCGTTTTCGAAAAAGCTCCGCTTTTTGATGGAATAGTGTGGACTATAGCAAAAAAGCTGCGTTTTCAATCTTTTCCGGTACAGTGTGGGTGCCGTCTTACATTTACTGATTACGATGTGGGTAAGGTGGCTTGTTGTAACTTGAAGGTCTCTAACTAATCTCAATATAACTTTGACACTTACGACATCCTTGCTCATCAGAATTGTCTCCACAGTCGTTGTCATGATCACACTGCCAGTGAGATGGGATGCATCGGCTGTTGGTACATCGGAACTCATTCCGGTCACATGTTGCATCTAACAAAGCAAGACAGGGTTAAAGTTGTGAGTGTCTATACTCTGTTTTTTGAGATTATCAATAATCAGAGTCAACTGGGAAATCTGCTGTTGGCGAGCAGATGATCGCTGCGGGCATGCGTAGTTGTGCCATTGCTGTGCAGTTTTGCCTTCATGGTCTTGTAGCTTTGTCGCTTTGCCTTTAGTTTGCCTCATCCCACCCGCCTCTCAGTTCCTGGTGGGCCCTTGTGTCTAGGTAAGTATACTTATTCTCCACTGAGAATTCAGTGTGACAGGAGCCAGGGGGAGGTGACCCGTGGGAGGTTGCCATGGTTACCCCCTTTATTTGCATTTTGCCCACACTTGCTCATTGCCTGCTTTGCTGTCAATTGGCACCTACCCTCCATTTTGAATATTGATTATCGACAAGTTAAATAACTGTACAGCTGTAGGTTGTATTATTATGACTACAACAGCTTATGACTGTTGGTGATTCGAGATCGTATAATGCATAGCCACAACAGATTAAAATTGCAGACAGGACAAGACCAGTACTCCCCGATAAGTAGTTTGCAACCATTCCAGAGAGATTCAACTGACAAAGACCTTGACAGCTACATGTACAGTATGCTGGATGACAGGAACAATAAAGACAATTAGGATTCTTTTGTTGATTGTCATCCAACATGGCGGCAGTGACATTAAATGCAGACAATCTATACGGGCCGAATAAGCTAGTTCAATACTTAGTACTTATCATGGCTCTTTGTGGAACTATGCGTTGTGAAATTGATAGAATATGGACTTGTCAAAGTTAAACACAGACATCTATTTGCATTTTTCAGGTCACCTGAAGTCATGAAAGGTTACCTGGAATTGTCCATTAGACGGATATCGTGCAAAAATAGACTTCTACTTGACAACAAACCATTGACTTCTGTATTCTGTTTTGAACGTGAAATTCGCTAACACTAATTTTGAGTGGCACACCTTACTGGTTTAATATACACAGTAAATCGCAAATTGTAACATACAGGGTGCTGATCAGAATTCTACTTTCTATGGCAGACCAGGATGCCACATAATAAATTTAAAAGTATTAACGAAAAATCAGAATCAAATTGTACGCCATCAGCAGGATTTTAAAGAACCCACCATAAATCCCTGTAGAATCTATAATGATTCAATACTCACTCCGAGTCTTGCACTCTCCATTAGGATCCATGTATTCCCCAGGTTGACACTCGCAGGTCACAATTCCAGAGACGGAGGTCACAGTTCGCATGTTGTCAGGACAAGCACAGGAATAACTATTTGGCGTAGCTAGGCAGATGTGACTGCATACTTTCAGTCGAGAGCAAGAATTGTTACCTGGTAATAAACCAATAAGAAGAATTTTTCGTTTTTTTCTTCCAAGAGTGTATATCCCATTTACTAGTAAAAATACTGTCAGTGCCATTACTGTAAATAACACCACATAAAAGTACTTAAGAAAATAGCCCAAAGAAAATACGTGTACTGATTAGTTCAAAATTAAGTTTCTGTAACTCGAGAGAAACAAAGAACTATGATGGTGCGAGCAAAGAGAATTTACATTTTGATGATCAAATTAAACAAGTTGTTTTCTTTTTCTCATCGCGGAATTTTCTAAAAGAAATTATAGAAAACATGTTCTCCATGTTTGTTTTGTTTTGTTTTGTTTTTTGAGTTACAGAAACACTCGTGTAAGTTTGGGAGAACTTGAAAAAGCTGTGGAAATGCTGGTCTGTCAGCTCATGTTCCCACAGCACTCCTTGTTTCCCCAAACTTCTACTTGTGTTTCTAATTGACAATTAGATTATGAGCTCGAGATTTCTATTGCATGATAGTTGACGAGGGTGCAGCCTATGTCAACTATCACGCGTAGAAATCGAGAGCGAATAATCTAATTGTTTTAGTATAAATCTACTAGTCTTTCAAAACTTTATCTAAATTCTCTTCTCAGACACTTCGAAAACACAAAGAATCTGCCGCCATTTTGCTAACACGGGCACACTGCTATGTTACTCAGTAAGTGCAACAGAATAGACAGTGAGTAGCGTAGCCAATTAATGAACAGCATTTGTGATAGAACGATAGTAGACTTATGCTAAAACTTGCTAGAGACACGACACATGTTTAATATTTCTTAAGTACTACTAGGGTTTCATCAGTAGATAAAGTTAGAACTACTATTGGAGAAAACTGTCCAAAAAATTAATTGGACAAATGCTCTTGCAATAAAAGGCTAGCCTTTTACCTGTCTGTGCATCTTGATGAAAAACTTTCAGATCCATTAGCCCACGTACACGTGACCTGATAGTCTGCCGTGCCCCACCGTCTCGTTTGTTTGCCTTTTGGATGGATTGTGTTGACCAGTCGTCCCAGTAGATGGAATCTCTGTACACAGATATTGAGTATGGGTGTGGTAGCCCACTGCTGCTTATTGTCTAAAGAACAGAAAGAGCATGAATTCAGTTTATGTCATTTGAAAACCTGACTTTGTACTGTATGCCTGAAATTACACAATCATAAAGTTAGGTACCTGCTAAGATTTTGCCTTCAACAAAACAATATACAGGTCTAAATCAGCAGAGCTTTTGTGCAGTAGAATTGCAAAGAGAGTATTCAAGCCCTGGGTCCTCACAAATAAAGCTCTAGAGTATGACATTACACTTAACCACTCTCCACCCACTGGGTCCCAGGTGCAAATGTCTTTACAGAGAAATTGTTCCAATTTTGTGATCCTGATCATCAATGATTTCTTGAGAAATATACAGTCAAACCTGTATTAAGCGGACCCCATATTAAGCGAACACCCTCTATTAAGCAGACAGCAGTGCAAGTCCCATTTTTCTTTTCCCACATTCACTGTAAAAAGTACCTGTATTCAACAGACACCTCTATTAAATCGACACGGACACCTTAAACTTGACTTTTATGGTCATTTCTATTGTTAGAAACCTGTATCAAATGGTCACTGCAAAAAGAATACTGATTTTTTGGTCCACGTTTTAGTAGATCGATCATTTAAGTTTGCCAACAAACTGAGTTGCCACAGAAATGCAATGTTTTGTTATTCGATTTTGTTTTTACAGAACTTTTGTTCTTGTTTGATTTTGTGAATCTTCACATGATTCGATCAATATAGATACTGTTATACTTAAATCTCTTTACCTCATATATTTGTCATTGTTTATGGAAATACGGTTCTTAAGAGTTATCGATGGTTCATAAGAATGCTATCTATCCCTTTCAAGGTCATTTAATACTGACCAATATTGATATGACCCTTTTACGACAAATTCTGTGGGAACCTGTTTTCAATGGACACCCTGTATTAAGTGGACACTAGCACGGGTCCTGAAGGTGTCTGCCTAATACAGGTTTGACTGTACAGACATCCAAGACACGCTACACATACCTGTCTATGCCTTCCATCCAAGTCGCTCCTCTCTAATTTGTCCAGTCCAGCATCGGTCCAGTACAACTTCTGTGCAGCGAAATCAATGGCAACACCATTTGGCCACTGTAGATTAGATGACACAATCGACATACGTGCCGCACCAGACATATACGCCCTCTCTATTCGAGCATTGCTTCCCCAGTCAGTCCAGTACATATAGCCCCGTTTGGGATCCAGAACAATTGCCCTGGGTCGGTCAAGATTGCTGGTGATGAGGCTTCTACGGAAACGTCCATCTGTCCTAGATAATTCAATCTTCTTGGCACCAGCATCTACCCAATATATATTATCACCAAGCCAATCTAATGCCAGTCCTTCTACTTGCTGCACACCACCATGGAGTGTTTGAATTATTCCTGTTGATGAAAATTAACTAGACAAATTAATATTCCGGTAACTAAAATTGTTGTTATCACCACAAAGTTACTTAGATTAATGCTTGTGAACTTCACCTTGGGCTGTCACCATGTCTTGGGGGTGACAGTTGGGGGTCTTACTAGGCCACGAAATAAGTAAAAAAATAAGAAAGTAAGGAAGTCAATCAATCAATCAATACTAATCAAAACTGCCTAAAACCAAAGATTAATGCAACAATAAAATTAATTAATAAGAATCACTGATAAAAGTTTCGACCAAGCATACTGCTTCCCACTTATGCCACACTATAATACCCTGACGTGAAAATTTTCATCTTTCTACTTATCTACCTCACCATTAAGCCCTGGTCAAATGATGGTTAATGATAGTTTAAGATAGTCTATGACACAGTTTAAGCTTACGCTCCCATTTGACCATCAATGATCATGTACATGTACTATCATCCTCAGCTATCTTTCACTTTGCTATTGTTCAAATTCTTGATGATAACTGATATCTAACCACATGCATGCATATATATATGATAGTTCATTCTACTTTTTCAGTCAGTATTCCCCCCAAAATTGGCATTCTCATAGCTTCACACAGTATTAAAAAACTAAATAGATCTCAGCTTGTTGTCGAAAAATGGCAATAAAAAGATAATAAAAACCACGAATACTGCACATGGATAATATAATATCTAGCACAGATAGACTGGAAAACAGGTAATCCCATAAATTAGAATGCACTGCATTTGCATGGCATAATCAAGCAAAATGGAACAAGTTGCTCTCTTCCACTGACAAGAAAAATTAATACAAGGTCTGGTTCCAACACCATTTTAGTTTCTATTAAGGTTTCCACTAATTGTTTCTGCACATCCTTACTGTGCACGCAAATTCACATGCCACGTCATGCATCAAGTGTGCACGCTAAGTAATATTATTATTATTTTATAATAAACAATGATAGGCCAGATGGCCACTGCTATAGCTTTTCCTGGATTCAACAATCTTGGACTTTGGGTGATACCTAGTTTTCTTTTAATGGATCATATTCTCTACCGATTTTCTACATTTAGCGCAAAAATGAAGAAAATCTATTGATTAGAAGTTTGAATGTTTTGGAAAATGCAGCATCAAATTCCGTTCTTTATAGCTCTTTGTTTATCTGTGCGGTGGTTTCAAATCCCTCTTGAAGGGTTAAGTTTTGTGAAAAACTTGGCAACAATTGGAATATTTACACAACAGACCCACTTCTACAAAATATAACAAAGATCGTTTGCCTGCATTGACTCACCTTCGATATTTGTAACTATAAACCCCTGTAGACCATATATGCTGAATCACGTGCGCCAGTTTTTCAAAATCAGGGTAGTTTTCCACACGCTTCATCTCTGAAACGAATTCAGCCACCCCCTAATTTTTTTTTTCTGGCACAAGTAATTCATTATCTGACTGCAGTAAAAATTAAAAAAAAAAAACTATTGACTGGAAAATTTTTTCACAAACGTCCTTAAATTTACACGGAGGAACATGGCATTGGAAGCTAAAGCAAGCTTTAAATAACCTATTGTCAGCCAGAGTGAACTTCTTTGCCCTGTGTGATATTGTATATGATACTATAGCTGGTTATGGTTAACAAATAAGGTGATTTCTACAACAGTACTACATGTATCATTGACTATCATGAGCTGTTCGACTAAGGTTTCACTAAAACGCACATTAATTTGATACATAAACATACCAGAGCCATTGAGAAATGATCGCTTGATTGTGTCCAGAGAAATGTCAGCCCAGTAGATGCAATTGTGATTGTAATCATAATCCAATGCAATGGCATTTTGCAGACCACTTCCAAGTGGAATAGTGGTCTCCACATGATCTCCCAAAGTGATTCTCCGGATGTATTGGCGAGCCGCATACAGCAAGAACTGAGGGAGTGCTGTACAAGAAAATAGAAAATTACAGGTAAAAAACCAAACCCCATCACAGAATGAAGCAAAAATAAAAAATGTGTAGCAAAGAACAAAGTTTCACATAACAATTTATAATCCTGAAAAGCAATGCAATTGAATTTTGTTAAGCTAATTGTGTCTTAAAGGGACAGTGTCATGAACTGGGCATGTGCAACATTTCGTTCGAAACTTGAAACATTCAGGCGGAATTTTTCAAGTTTGAGTTCGGCAAATTGACTAGTAGAGCTTCTAGTGGAGCCTGTTGTGGTGTGTGAACAAGGGGAAACTTACTGCAATTAGTAACCCATGGTACTTACACAGAGAGATAAAGCTGTCATAAAGGGATAATTTGGAAGGAAACATATTTCAGAGTTGTCTTGAAAGAGTTTTGCGACACTTGTCAGCCCTGAATACGGTGCTTCAACCCTGGGGGAGGGGGGGCACTGCCATATATGGGCTATATAGGTATGTGCCGCTGTGAAGGGTATGGTTTTCAAGGAGTTTACTCTAGGATAGGGTATATAAATCAGAGCGTTTGGGTCTAGAATAGGGTATAATTTTTNAGAGACAATGTCATGAATCGCGCATGTGCGACGTCTCGTTCGAAACTTGAAAAGCTCAGGCGGAATTTTTCAAGTTTGAGTTCGGCAAATTTAAAATGGCGTCGATTAGTGGAGCCACTCGTGGTGTGTGAACAAGGGGAAAATTGCTGCGATTAATAGCTTATGGTACAAACACACAGAGATAAGGCTGTCATAAAGGGATAATTTAGAAGGAAAATATTTCGTAGCTGTTTTGGACAATTTTAGTGACGCCTGTCAGTGCTGATAATACGAGTCTTAACCAGTTGAGGTACAGCACTCAGTGCATCTTGACCTCCTTATTGCCCTTATTATAATTGTCTTTGGAATCTGTATTCAATTAGCTTGTAATTGACGCACTGAACGTAGCATTCTGTGGTGACATGGTAGAGAAAACACCTGAAATACAATGCATGATTTGAGACTGTTTATCAGTCAATTTGATTTTGATGGTTATTTTAATGAAATACGGCATGCCTTTTTGGCTCTTAATGGCAGCATGTAACGTAGTACAAGATCTGCATTCACTTAGCCTTTAATTGGTGCATTAAATTTAGAAATCTGTCAAAATAAACTGGTCAGGACAAAAGAATTTATTTACATGACACAGTAAGCATTGTGAGGTGAAAACATTCATGGCTTGTGTTTACGATTCAACAGTAACTAAAGTGAAATACAGCACGATTTTTAGGCCATTTAACATATTTTGACCATTAAATCGTTACATTCTGTGGAATTTATATTCATTTAGCTTTGATTTGCCATATTAAACCTAGACATTTGTGGAGATTTATAAGAGAAAAAAAATTATTTACATGAGACGGTTTATAGCACTGTGAATTTGAAAGATGCGTGGATCATGTTGCAATTTGACAGTAACTAGAGAGAAATAAGGATTGATTTTTAGGCTACTTAGCGTATCTTGACCATGTTACATCCTCTGGAATGTACATTCATTTGGCCTTGATTTTGAGTGTAAAACTTAGAAATCTGTAGACTTGCCACAAGTCGACTTCATGAATTTCCGGGTAGAATATGTTAGGCCGTGAAGCGGCTGAGCAAGCGACGAAGTCGCAAGAGGTCGACTTGTCTCGCTTGAAGGGTTTTCATTTGCGTTTCGTGCCAAAAATGAGGAGTAGTGTGACTTGCAACTGGTGTCTCAGGTTACATTTGGATTGAATTGAATGGCAGAAAGTATCAGTTCCACTCCAACCAAAACAATTGAACATGTGTGCGGTTCTCCTTCGTCGAAAGATCAAATTTGTTTACTCTATACTAAAGTGATTACGCACAAAGATTTTAAATGAAAATTGATGATATCGGGTGGCCAAAAAAAGACCAAAGCTTGTTTGAATCTTGAATGGATCGCCGGAAAGGATATATCCAGAGTTGCTATTCACTTGATCTCCATTCAAACAATCAAATGCATACAGAGCTAGCTTGAAAGTCAAACTTTTCCCAGCTCCGGTTGGTGCAGAAACAAACACATCTCTTCCAGACAGACATGCTTACACTGTTTTCTTCTGATATCCTGTGGGCTTTGAAGCTTCGTTTGGCTTTCGCAATCAACCCCATATTGAATTTAACCGCAAGTCATGTTTCGTTGCGCATAGTTTGACAATTTGGTCCCCAAGGGATATCCAGGACACCTCTGATTGGTTGAAGTGCAGCGACCCGTTTTTGGGTTGCTAAAATTGGCGGCAATCAAGCAGGAAAAGTCCTTCGTCTGGCAGGTACTGAATAAACAAGACGAAGGACTTTTCAGAAAGTCTAAGAAAAATGTGGAGATTTATAAGAGAAAAACATTTGTTTACATGAGATGATTAGCGTTGTGAATTTGAAAGATGGATGGATCGTGTTGCAATTCAGACAGTAACTGGAGTGCAATAACGGAAAGATTTGCGAGTTATTTTCACATCATGACTATTAACTCGTCATGCACTATAGAATCTGCATTAACGTAGCTGTTAGAATCTCGCTAATTATTGAATAATGTGTAGTGAGTAGTTTTTGGGAGTGTAGAGCTCCGTAACTTTGGATAAAGGCTTTGTTTTGTTGCGATATAAGGACACGGACATGGATGCTACTGGCGGTTGCTATGAGGAGTGAAACGCAACCCTTCTGTTTACGTCTACAAAAAAAAAATCGTAGTTAATTCTAGATTCAGTCTTTTTCTGTTCTGCTTTCAGGATACCTAGATGTAGACATTGCAAAGCTCACGTGAGTTTGTTCAGCTCAATTTTTTGCGCTAACCATAAAATTACACCTTTTGGATCGTCCGACCCGGACTGGTGGTCCAAGTTGGTCCAGTCTGACTTTTGTACCTGCCTCTCAACATGCCATCTTTTGACATGTTATGAAACCTAGCCTACCTCAAAATGTAAGCACAAGTGGCTTCCCTACGGTCGAACTTGACTTTTAGTTAATAAAGCTGGATTTATTTGACATCAAACTAAGACTAGGAGCATCAAGAAAACATTCTGTGAGGGATAAATCAACTGCTTTAAATGTTTACATCTTTTGAATATTAACTGAGCGGTAGTGGCCTAATTCTACCAGAAGTCACTGTTGAGAGCCGATCAACTACACTAAAATCGTTTGAATTATCCCGTAAATCAAGAGTCCACAATCTTCTTCATTCATTTGAGGTCAGTAATTATCATATGCTTGTCATTTGTTCCGCTAATAACCAGAAAAATTGCTAGTTACACAGGTAAACGGTATTTCAGCCATTTACTTAGCATGTCCAAAGATGGAATGTCGAGAGATGGTCAAAAGATGTCGCCTACGCACATAACACTGAAAGTGGGTGTAAAAAGGCCTAGTTTCTAGTTATTTTAGCACTACATACAATGTATTGGACAGGAAGCCATCTCTGCAGAAAACTGATCTTCCATGCCTCCCTGACAGGTGTCACCAGTAACTTTGCGATATCTGAAAACAAAAAAACAAAAAAAATAAAAAGTTTTGTCATATTGACCAGGGCATTAGTCTGACAAGCTCCAAATTTATCAACAGAGCTCAATAATAACTGGAACTGAGATTGAAGCAGTGGAGACTTTTTGAACTTGATGAGGTGGCAACTGAAGTAATGACAAAGGGCTAACATTTGAATAACATCAAGTCAAGTAAATATATTCACAACACCAAGCCTGCCTTATAGGCATAACCAGGAAACGAGTAGGGTAGGCTCCTCTCATTTGCTCCCTGCTCCTTTCTTCCTCAATCTCCCTTCCCCCCCCCTTCCCCATTTTATGTCTGCTATATGTGGGCTCACTTCACCAGGTGTGTGCATTTGCTTGTCTCCAGAATGAGGTCTCAACAAGCCTAGAACTGGACAGTTATTTTGTTCTAATTAATTTTTACCTCGTATTATACATACATATACTAAAATATCTGCAGTGCTCGTAAAGCACCATGTATATCATGCAAATTGGCAATTCAATAACTGTAATAACTGTAAGCGTTGAAAGTAAAGTTAGTACTGTGCTGTTGTGAAAAAAAATATATATATATAGTAAGTTAGTAAGAGTGACAGGGGAAAAAAATTGCCAATTGAAAGTGGTAAATGGGGTTCTAACGGGGGTATCACAATTTTCGAAAGTGGGAAATGCCAGCTCCAAATAATAATTGGTGGTGATCACCAATTCCAAAACACACTCTCCAGATCAAGTGCTGATGCTAGCTCTGAGTGGCTAACATCTATAGCATAATTAGAAACTACACTGTATGTTCCCAAGTAACCTGTGTCACAGCCACCCTCCCCAAAAGAAAAAAAATCTTTCTTTCAGGGAAGGTGGCTGTGAGACAGGCTAGCCCCCAAAGGGTACTGTAACTATTATACAGTATTTCTCTACACATACCCTTTTGTGCGACGATATGTTGTGCCTATAGGACAGTAAGGAGGCACTGTAGTAGGAGTCAAGCCACTGGAAGTATCAAATCTACACTCATTATTATTATTGTCATCCTCAATGTATCCCTCATCACTAAATTAGGACAAGGAAAAACAAAAGAAGTTACATAGCATCACTCAGAAGAAGCCAGGTCAGTAAATAGCATTTTTATCTGGTGCCTAGATTTTGTTAACCATCTTTTGAATAAGCGAGGCTACAAGTATATTACAATTAAATGCTGACTATGAACTCTCAGACCCATAAACCCAGCCACAACTCTTACATGTATATAGTTAAATGAGGTCACGGCATATAACCACAGCATTATGGCAACTGGGAACCTACAATTTGCTAGGGCAACCTGATAAAGTGTTGGGGGACATGTCTCGTGGACAATTCATGATACAAAAACCAAAGTTAAAACCACTTAGTATACTAAATAAGCTGCCTGGCTCTGCATTGAAGACAGCTAGACCTTTGAATTCTAAAGGTGAAGAAAAGTGATGTGAGAATCAAGAAAATAACTCTACCATTCAAAGTCCTCTCTATCACATGGACAACTCCGCTGCGTGAGTGGCCGGTCGTAGTTATAACCATTGTAACAATGTGCATGGGCTATCCGCCTCTCATATATAGACTTCCTTCCTAACAGGCATGTCCCATTTTGTTCATCTGATGGTATCCATTCTTTGTAGTCCTCTCTCTTGCATGCTTTACCTGAATTTGAAAGTGAAAAAGATTCACTTATCAAAGTCTGCTTTTAAAAAAAGTGCAACAAAGGTGAAATTTAGATTAGACTGTCGAGACTTGTGTGCTAGTCTTACGAAAAGCAAAATATACTTGACTAAAGTTGTGACCAACTCAAAAGCTCTCTTTTGGTGAGACTTGTCAGGCCAAGTGAGTTTTCTCTCCCTCACTGGTGGTGGCAAAGCCCTATCAAAATACTGCCAGGTTTGATGAGTAAACTCATGTAGAATGTGATACAAAGTTTGCACATTGTTTTTCTTGCTGCTGCAGTATATCACAGAACTTTTGCGAGCAGGGAAATACATGTGGCCTGCATAGCACCTTCTTCACAGGTTAATAAACTTCAAGTCTGCGGGCTTTAAAGTCCACAGTTGTAAAGATACTGCATATGACACATGTAAAAAAGCATAATTGAAGGGGTGAGTGCAAAACTATGCTAAGTGACGATTTGGGTGAAAAAAAAAATTTCGCGAAAGGGCTTGAATTTTTGCACGTGGTCTTCAGTGTAATAGAAAAACGTGGTCCTGTATTTTTGTTGCTGGTTTTTGCTTCGTTTATAAAGACCCCGCTAGGAAAACCAAGTGGTTTTTCTGCATACGCAATATCTCGAAAACGAAGCGAAGCTTAGCGGAAAAACTACGGGACATTGTTAAACATACCTAAACAAAACTGCATG